AAGCTTCATCGTGCTTGCAAAGAATGGGGTTTCTTCCAGGTATTAGTAGAAGGATCAAATCAATATATACTATATATGATGCGTCGTGTAAAATTTTGTTGTAAGAGTGGAAATGTTTTGCAGTTGATAAACCATGGAGTGAGCAGTTCACTGGTTCAGAAAGTGAAGATAGAGACTCAGGAGTTTTTCAATCTGCCAATGGAGGAGAAGAAGAAGTATTGGCAAAAAGCAGGAGATATCGAGGGATTTGGGCAGGCGTTTGTTGTGTCTGAGGAGCAGAAGCTTGACTGGGCAGATATGTTCTTTGTGACCAGCCTCCCATTACATTTGAGGAAGCCACACCTAATTCCCAAGCTCCCTTTCCCTTTCAGGTTCTCTGTTTTCTGTCAAATTATTTCTTTGTCAAGATTCTCCAGCTATGCTCATGATCATATAATATAATAGTGACGTTTCTGATATCGATGTTTGAATTAATTACAGTTTAAAAGCTATTTAGATCATAGTTTAATTATTTATATCTTATATCTAGTGAACATAATTTAAGTTAAATTATCTGGACAGATAACCATTAAAATTATCTTATATTAGTGCCATTGAAAACCATCGGCTAGCATATTATATTTAATTAAATATGATAACTAATACAATGTCATAATCATGATTAGATAGCAATTTAGTCATGAGTGAACAATTTTTTTCCACCCAAATAATGGTTTGATGACACTTTCCCCCACAAACTTTAAAAATACTATTTTACTATTTAAATTTATATTCCAACAACGAATAGAGAGCAAACTCAATCTCGACTTTTAAGGCTTCTGAAGAGGTGACGCCGGTGAGTCTTTTGATGGTGGAAGATTAGATTTTGGTGACTGAAATTGATCAAAATTTAACTTGTGAGTGGCGACTACGTAAACCCTAATCGATCAATTGCCGATGATTGACAAGGTTGGCAGGAATAGGGTTTGAAGGGGGTTTGATGAGCTTTGGTGAATAAGGATAAAGGAAGAGAATAGTAGTGGTATGGGGTCACAAAGATGTCAGAAACTCAAAATCGGAAACAGAATATAGATTTAGGTAGTAAAATGGTATTTTAAAAGCAAGTGATTGGGAAAGGGTCATTAAGCCACTATTTGGGTGGGAATAAGTAGTTTCCTCTTTAATCATATATTCAACAGGCACTTTTAAGTTTGTACAATGGAATCGTTTGGTTCAAGATTGGGAATATTACTCTTAGTATTCCCAAAAAAGTTAAACAGTAAAATACCAAAAAACTCTCGGCTTCGTTTGGTTGGATTTTGGGAATACTACTTTTAGTATTCCCAAAAAAGTTAAACAGTAAAATACCCAAAAATTCTTGGCTTCGTTTGGTTGGATTTTGGGAATACTACTTTTAGTATTCCCAAAAAAGTTAAACAGTAAAATACCCAAAAACTCACAATATTATTCAACTTTATTCAACATTTTTTAAACCCCCTAAATTTGTTAATTCAATTAAATACCCCTAAATATTTTTAATGTTTTTGTTACGGCGACTCGGCACCCTCCGGCAGGTGGCCGGCTGTCATATTGAGGGTGGATGGGTGTGTTTTCGTTAACTTTTAATGTTTTATTTAAGGGGTGTTTTGTAAAAAAACAAACATAGGGGGTATTAATTTGTAAATCCTACATCGAATAAGCCCAATTCAACTTTTTTTTAACTTTTTTCAAAAAACTTTTTCCAAAAACACAAATTGTGAACCAAACGGAGCCCTCATTTTTGGGATACTATTTTAAATATTATTAATTTTTTTTAAACCCTCTAATTTGTTAATGTAATTAAATACCCCTAATATTTTTTTAAAATATAAAAACACCCCAACAATCCACATTTACCAGATTCCGGCCACCACCGTTGGAAAATGGCCGGATTTGGTAGGATGGCGACTCGGCTGACTTGGCCGGTAGTGCGCTGATCTAGACTTTTCCGGCAGATCCACGGTGGATTTGGCCGGAAAAGTCCAGATCTAAGACCAAAGATCTGGCGTTGACGGCCAGATCTTTGGCCGTAACAGTCGGTCACGACGGCCAACAAACGGTCGACCATTTGTTGGCCATCATTGATAGCATAGGCCAGATCTGGTGGTTGACGGCCAGATCTGGCGTAGATGGCCTTTGCCGGCTAGATCCACCGTGGATCTGGCCGAAAAAGCCATATCGGAGCATGACCGGCAAGATCCAGCCGGTCATGCGCCCATAAGGTGACTCCAGCCACCCTCGGTGTGGGGGCCGACTAGGGGTGTTTGAGGGTGGGTTAGGGGTATTTTTGTTAACTTTAAGTTTTTATTATAGGGGGTATTTTGTAAAAAAACAAACATATGGAGTATTTTATTAATTTATAAATCCTACATCGTAATACCCGCTTAATTCAGCTTTTTTTTTAACTTTTTTCAAAAAACTTTTCTCAAAACCCCCAATTTGAACCAAACGGAGCCATACATTTGCTACTCAACTGTCTAATCCTTTATCTTTAAAGACTAGTCTCTACTTCTTTTATTTATCTTTTTTTAAATGTAGAGAAACATTGGATGCTTACTCACTAAAACTAAAAGATCTTGCCATTATAACCTGAACCAAATGGGAAAGCTCTGAGAATTGAAGATGATTATATGAACAATTGGTTGACGAAGGGAGACAGGGAATAAGATTGAACTACTATCCTCCATGTCCACAGCCAGAGCTTGCTATTGGCATCAATCCCCATTCCGATGGCGGCGGCCTTACCATCCTCCTCCAGCTCAATGAGATGGATGGCCTTCAAATCAGGAAAAATGAGATGTGGGTTCCTGTTAAACCCCTACCAGGTGCTTTTATCATCAACATTGGAGACGTTTTAGAGGTAATTCTCATCACAAAGAAATATTGTTCATAACAAGACGGGAGAGGTTTGGTTTGATGTGTAAGTTTAAAATAGATTTAATGACGTTAATCCCCCTTGGTATGATATAATAATAAAAATCATCCTGAGCTTTTTGAAATAACAGAAATTCCCTGGATTGTTAATAAACTGTTAAAATTTATACTGTTATTAGTTAATAAATATCCTCATTTATACTGTTATTAGTTAATAAATATCCTCTTGACTGTTAAATCCTTCTGTCCGTTTATTTTAACACTTACATGCTAGCTTAACAGTAGGGAGATATCTATTAATTTTTGAAACCTCGGGAGGATTTTTATTATTATATCCTATCTCAATGGATAAATATATTAACTCTTTTAACATATTCACTGTTAGATCTTTATATGTAAAATATAATTATATGGGGCAATCCTTACTAGAGAATTTTCGTATATATACATAGAGACACGAAAGATGAAGAGCATAACTTTGATGTTGTTTAATTAGAGTTTCTGATTTTGTAGATTGTAACCAATGGAGCTTACCCTAGTATTGAGCATCGAGCCACTGTAAACTCTACGAAAGAAAGGCTCTCAATTGCCACATTCTACAGCCCAAATACAAACCGCGATATGGGTCCAGCGCCGAGCCTCATAACACCAGAGAATCCGGCATTGTTTAAGAGAGTAAGTGTTGCAGACTACTACAAGGGATACTTTTCCCGCGAACTGCAGGGAAAATCATACCTTGATGGCTTGAGGATTAAAAATGAGGACAAGCAATGTGGAAAACCTAATGTTTAGTTTATTTATAGAAGCTGGTGAATAAATGATCGGTCATCTGTTTGATGCTACATCATCTCATTGTAGCTGAGTGTGTAATTCAAGCTGGTTTGTTATAGACAGACCCATTTGAGATTTAAACAAAGTTTCACACCAGTTGATTTCATCTCTCTAATTTTCAGTAAATGTCATTATAATCCATAAATCTCATTGGCACTTTATGTTAAAACAGAGCATAATCCTTGTAGCAGCCATCGGCTGCGTTACTATTGTCTCAAAGCCTGACATAGAGAAATAAGAAAAGTAAATGAAGCAACATCAACTCAAGAGGTCAAGTTAAAAGTAACCATGCAAAAATATCAATGTGGATGATGAACTACTATACTCCATGTCCACAACCTGAAATTGTCATTGGCTTCAATCCTCATTCTGATGCGGTCGCCCGAACCATCCTCCTCCAGCTTAAAGAGATCGAAGGCCTTCAAATCTATACAGATGGGATGTTGTTTCCAGATAAACCCCAACCAGATGCTTTTATACATTGGTGACATTTTTCAAGATATGATTTCATAAAATAATTTTTTCAAGATACGATATTATAAAATAAACTCAAGAAAATGACATCAAATTGTTTGTCTTGTATGATCGAGATACCTGAACATTAAATTAATAATGATACCATTCAAGTTCCATACAGTCATTGACAAACCAACACGTGTTTACTTATGAATGGTATCATTATTAATTTATAGCAGTGAGTTTATAATCTCCATACCTTATAATTTTAAGAGCAATCATCGCATGTGTTTTGGTCAATCTTAAGAAGGGTGAGCATAATTAGGGTCCGGTTCCGGTTCAGAAAAATTGAAACTGGGAATTCTTAGGTCCAATTCTGATTTCTATAGTGCTAGATCCGGAAATCAGAACCAGAACTGAATTGTAATTTTTATAAACTATTGGGGGTGTTTTGATAATTTTTTTTAAATAGGGGGATAATTGAAATTAACCTGGGTACCCAAAACTTGGAACATATGTTTCCGGTTCCGATTCCAAATCTTAGGAACCGACCGATTCTGATTCTTTTAAAAAATTCAAGATACTCAGAACCACCCACCCCGATTATAAGAACACTTAAAGCATTCGTTTTCTCAAACACTCAACCGGTTGTTGTTTGAGATAATAAATTAATATATAGCAGCCGGATAGTAGTTGGTTACTTATTATAAAAATAAAAGTAACATGCAAAAGCAAAAGTTTTCTTTTCCGGTTTATACATGATATTATTTTTTAAGTGCGAGCCAGCAAAAACAAAATATATAAAGACATATAATCTTTAAAGAGAAGATCAATCATCTATGGAGAAAAAGGTGTGGAGCTCTCTTCCTGTGCCTAGTGTTCAGGAGCTGGCGAAGGAGCCACTCACTACAGTTCCACAACGATATGTTCGTTCAGACCAAGACCCTCCTTTCATATCCAACGCCACTTCTTTTCCACAAGTTCCTGTAATCGACTTGCAAAAGCTGCTTTCTGGAGACCTGATGGATTCAGAATTAGACAAGCTTCACCATGCTTGCAAAGAATTGGGTTTCTTTCAGGTATTAGTAAAAAGATAAATCAAAATTAGCATATATGTCATGTGTCATGTACAATTTAATATGTTTTAAGATGGAAATGTTTTATTTACAGTTAATAAACCATGGAGTGACCAGTTCATTGGTGGAGAAAGTGAAGGTAGAAACTCAGGAATTTTTCAATCTGCCAATGGAGGAGAAGAAAAAGTATTGGCAAAAAAAAGGAGAGATGGAAGGATTTGGTCAGGCGTTTGTTGTGTCTGAGGAGCAGAAGCTTGATTGGGCAGACATCTTCTTCGTGACCAGCCTTCCGATTCATTTGAGAAAGCCACACCTATTTCCCAATCTCCCTCTCCCTTTCAGGTTTTCTCTTTCTATATATCAATTCTTTTCCTTGTCGCGAGATCTCTAGGCCCGCGCACCAAATATTCGTATACGTCAAAATCGAAATTATAATCTTCAACCACCAAATCTTCTTTGGTCCATTATAATATTATAGTGGAGTTTTTTATATTAATCTTTTGATTTATTTTGTGGTTTCAAATTTAATTGCCCTACGATACAATCATTCAGAAAGAGAGAACTTTTGTGTTTATAATAGTATAATACATTTATATGATAGGAAATCAATTGGGAGAAGCATTGAAATGAAACAGTAAGACTCAAATTTCATACATTAAGAGCTAACTAATGATGAGCTATTACATCGGAGGTTGTGGACGTAGTATTAGTAATATATTATAGGAATGTTAGGTTCACAATTCAATCTCACAACATTCTCTCATAATCCCCAATGTGTCAACTCGTCATTGGTTAACACGCAAAACGGGTTCTGCCTACTTGTATGGGTCCTGCCTACCCATGCGAGCTAACCAATGATGAACTACCACATCGAGGGTTGTAAGAGAAGATTATGAACCTAGCGTTATTATATACATTAGGTACTCAATTTGACTCATATAATCAACAAACAGATAACAATTTTTTTTTTTTTTTTATCACTAGAGATGTCCAAGCTAACTTACGTACATCTCAACTAATCCCTCTAGAACTGCTGACCGATAAGAGCTTCAGTGACTACCCATATTAATACCTGAGAAGACTCGAACACAAAAGTTCGTGACCTCTTTTTTCTCTTTTATTATCAAGCCATCCAATGGTAGTTTACATATAGCACTTTTGTTTTTGGGTAATATAAATCTAGTCTCTATTTATTTACTTATTTTTTTAATGTAGAGAAACATTGGATGCTTACTCAGTAGAACTAAGAGATCTTGCTATGAAAATCCTGAACCAAATGGCAAAAGCTCTGAGAATGGACGCTAAGGATATGAACGATTTGTTTGAAGGAGGGATGCAGGGAATAAGAGTGAACTACTATCCTCCATGTCCACAACCAGAGCTTGTCACCGGCCTCAATCCTCACTCTGACGGCGGCGGCCTTACCATCCTCCTCCAGCTCAACGAGATGGAAGGCCTTCAAATCAGGAAAGATGGAATGTGGGTTCCTGTTAAACCCCTACCAGATGCTTTTATCATCAACATTGCAGACGCTTTGGAGGTAATACTCATCACAAAGCACTTCCATGGTAACCCGTTAGTTGAATCTTTTGATTTTGATTTTGCAGGTTTTAACCAATGGAATTTACCGTAGTATTGAGCATCGAGCAGTAGTAAACTCTGTCAAAGAAAGGCTCTCAATTGCCACATTCTACAGCCCCAAAATAGACGGCAATATGGGTCCAGCGCCGAGCCTTGTTACACCAGAGACTCCGGCGTTGTTTGAGAGAACAAGTGTTGCAGATTACTTCAAGGGATTCTTTTCCCGCGAACTGCAAGGAAAATCATACCTTGATGTCTTGAGGATTGAAAATGAGAACGACAGTTGTTGAGTAATGTTGAAATTCAAAGGTTTGGTTTATCTATATAGTTGGTTAAAAATTGACAGGCATCTGTTTGATGCTACATGATTTCATTGTAATTGAGAGTAATTCAACCTGGTTAGAACACTGGTCTGTTTTATGTACATCCATGCTGACATTGCCAAATCGATAATAGGTCTAAATAAACAAAAACCCGTGAGAATGACAGGTTTGGGGCAAAATATAATCCTGCTCTATTTTGCAGCCTGAAAGCTAGGGAAAAATGGATACATGATATTTCCACAGTTAAAAAAAGTATAGCTAAGTCAATGTCCAACAATATAGCACAAATAGATGCCTTTCATGACCCGTTTAGATTGGAGAGCTTGTGATGGTTATTATCATGTTCTCATCAAAGCTTGCAGCAGTATTTTACCCCTTTTAATACTACCTAATCTTTGAATCGTATATATATGATACAAGATGAAAAATTTTCAGAATCTCCTGCAACGAAACCTCCAGGCATCAAGTTGTCAATGATACTCCGAAAACAAGCCAAGAATTATGGATTTATAGTAAAATAAATGAAGGGGAAGAGAGAAGTATGAAATTTCCGATATACTGCTAGACTGACCAGAACACAAAAAGAGAACAAATTGAAGCTGCAGCACTGTTTCTATTATCTAACTTAAAAATAGATCAGTAATTTACAGTAAATGTCAATATAATACATTTACCCTATACTACACGGACCGATGGCTTCATTCCCTATCCCAAACCTGAAGTATATTAATCCATAAATTCCAACACTACCTAAAAGTGATAGATCTTTAACACTTAATGTTGGAACAGAGCATACTCCTTACAGCAGCAAGCATCAGCTGCATCACTATTGTCTCCAAACCTGACAGAGAAAATTAGGAAAAAATATGAAGCAACAACTAAACATGTCATGTTAAAAGTAATTGCACAAAAATATGTTCAAAGGATCAGGGACACTTTCACAGGGAAAGGGATGGAAGCCGAAAAAATGGAAACAAGATCTATAACATCCACATAGGCAACAAATAAAAAGAAAAAAAAAAAAATACATGCAACATTGCCTTCCAAGTCATTAAAGGTATTAAAATCAATCCACTATTAGAGATATGTCATAAGGGTTATATCAGAGTTCTGGTTCTCAAAACTGGATAAGTCCTTAGCAATGTCTAAGTTCTTGGTGACACTAATATGTTCAATAAGGTTCTAAAATATAATGATTAGGAGTTCAGGAACGAGGGAAAAGGAGATAATGGTAGTCACAATGTAACTCATACTTGACAAAAGTTAATAGTACCTATTAGTGACAGTAACTATGATGGTTTCCAACTATGTTTAATCTGTCTCCCTGGGTTGGAAATATGTAAGTACCATTTTTGTCACCCATTAATTGTGACCACAAATAGGTTGACAACATAAAGTGTTAATAAAAATTTAGATGGTAATCTTTCCTTTTGACAGTGAATCATCATCAATGTTCTTTAAGCATAAGCCTAGCACAAATCTCTAAAAAATAAAATAAACAAAAAAAAAAAAACGAGTTGGTAAAATTCCAGAATACCCAAAGGAGATCCAAGTATTATAACTCAACCTGGGTGGCTAGCTAGCCCAGTTTGCTCTCAATTAGTGCCAAAACATTTCAAAAAACACAAGATACAAGGGTCAGAATGCTTGAAATTTTCTAGTAAATTATCAGCATTATGGGAATAGCATACAATGTCATGTTTGCTACTGCTCACACTACCAGCAGAATTCAGCCCAATGAATAACAAATTAAGATGTGTTGAAGCAATAAAACTTATGAAGTACCAAGTTTCGAAATCCCTCACATATATTTATTGTATCTGAATTGGTTAAGATGCAAGATGAACTGTATCCAGTAGTCAGCGATTTTTCAAAATATCCAAGAAATATTGTCATTTTCCAGAATGTGGTGAATAGTTTGGGAGAACAGCTGGATACTATGAGGCAAAAAAATATGTTTTATCCCTAAATGTCTTTATGACCATGATAGAATGTCAAAATAATATGTTGGGCAGATAAAGGGCCAGCAATCTGAACACATGGATTTTGCTAAAGGTGCAAAGCAGTTCATGTCTGTTTTTTTATATTTTCTTTTTCTTTATGCTCATTTTCCCTCTCTTTGCATACCTTTTATTTCTCTCAAATATTTTTCATTCATCTCTGTATGGTTTTAAAATTTAATTTCTACCCCTCACTTAATACGAGCTTTCTCCTTTCAAGTTATATAAGGTAGCCAAACAAACCTATTCATTCTCTAGTAAAAATCTTCCTAATGTTTTGAACTTACAATCTTAATAGCTTGTATCACCAATTCCACAAAAGCCCCTTTGTGAACAACGAAAATATAAACCACAAACTAAACAAAAACAACAAAAAGAATATGAATTGCCCCAGCCAAGAACCTTGCCTATATACAAATCATGCCCAAGACTCATAAATTAACCAGAAATACATAATTACAGAGTTGTGCAACCCAATTTCTTCAATGCCACACTAAATTTCTCCTGTTCTGTGTAGCACTCAACAAAGGCACCTAATACAAGTTGATTTTCTGTCCACATCTCTACTAGCCTTCTCTTTAGAATACACAACATATAAACTGAGAATCATCACCTACCCACATCTCAAGTTACTCAAAATGCCACCCAAACGAGGCCCCAAGTTTTCGTTATTGTCATGAATTCAAGCACAATCTTTTAAGGCTTCACATAAAGTCACGAAATAACCAAGTAAAAACCCTTTACAAATTTTAACAAAACCAAATGCCCAAATCAAACAATGACAAAAACACAAATCAACAGTAAACAGTAGATAAACAACAACCCTAAAACCCCAGATAAAAACCTTAAGCCAAACACAAAAAAAAACAAAAAACAAAAAACAAAAGAAAACAAAACTTTGAAGCAAAAACGTTACCTTTCTGGGAAAAACCATGGCCAGTAGGGCCGTGAGGGGGAGCAGCAGCAGTTGCAGAGCACAGGCACATCTTAATAAACCCTAAAAATGAAAAGACGAAATGAGAAGAGGGAGGGAGAGAGAAAGAAACAAATGGGGTTTAGTTTAATTATAAAGAGAGAGAGAGTAAAGTGAGGTTGTGGGTAGTAGCAGAACTGCAGAGAGACAGAGGATGAAAAGAGTTGAGTGGACAAACAAATCTCTTCTTATAGATCGCACGAAACCCAACGTACAAATACAGAAAGAGAGAGAGAGAGTGTGTAATGTGGTGGGGCTGGTTTGCGTATCCGAGGTCTTTTGTTGTCGTTCACTTCTATCGTTCTTTGAAAAACCAAACCCCGCGCTATGTTTCTTGTCTTTACATTTTACCCCCCTTTCTTCTTCCAATTTTCACACCATTTTCTCTCGTATTAAACCTTTGAAACTACTGTATTTAACTTCATATCACTCATTCTACACAAACTATAGCAAATTGGGGCTCTTTCATGGAACCAAGTAAAGTAACAAAGCTGAACTCTTTATTTCATTCTAACAAAAAAACAATATTCCTTCAAATGAATAAAGATTAAAGCAAAAAAAAGGTGTGAACTTCTTTTATTTCTTCTTCATTTCACATTATCTTATATTCTCAGTTTCTCACAACAATTTTACAAGCTTCCCAAATCCCCTGCCATTAATCACCACATTAAGTTACATCACGTCGGCTAAACCTTTTTAAAAGCATTTTATTAATTCATTAATTAATATGTAATTATGCATTAGCAGAACCTTACAAATACAGGTGAAGAACGAAAATGGTTAATAAGCTTGCTTTAAAAGCCCAAAAGGAACATACAGTGGGTGTTCCTAAAATTCCTATGGGCTGCATTTATAATAGCCCATAATTCCACCTCATTCTGCAATAATCAGAGCCCACCCCCCTGCTAATTGGATTAAAATCAAATGTGACGCAGCTTTTAAGAAGTACTCTCATGAAGGAGTGATGGGAAGAGTAATGCTACAGTCACCGAATGTTGTGCAACGAATCTGTGCACCGAATGACTTGATAAAATTTTGATCGTTGATTTATTATCAGTTAATATTAATCAACGGTCAAGATTTTGCCACGTCATTCAGTGCGTAACTTTCGGTGGCTCTATCATTTTCAGTGATGGGAATTGTAGACAGGGACGACAAAGGTATTCTGTTAATGAGGCAAGCATCAAAAAATTTTGCTACAACCCCCCTTGAGGCGAAGCTATGTAACCAATTTATCATCAATTTAATAAATCAAAAGCGGAAACCCAATAACATAGCTCCCGCCATAGCAATCAATTTCCAAATATTGTAGGTGACACCTGGGAATGGCTCTAGTCTATTCAAGACTTTATTTCATATATCGATGGAGAATCACAGATTTTCTACTGTAGGTCACACTTGAGATTGGTTCTAATCTATCCAAGACTTTATTCCATGTATGGATGAAGAATCACAGACTTTCTTGTAGACTAGTGACATGTTTTCCCTTATGTTTAATTTTATTTTATGTAATTTGTATATCTTCTTCTCCATCAAAGAAGAAGTTGTATATAGGGAAGTTAATACTTATAACTGGTGGAAAGTTAAGTAACTGATATGGGAAGTCATTATTATTATTATTATTATTATTATTAACAATTAATAATGATAATGGGCCACAATAACTTACAAGCTATAGCTTTGGCTTCCAATCTGAGTTTGAGTAAGGTTTTACTAGAAATAGACTCTTTAGATCTTGTTAAAGCTTGTAAGAAGGAAAAAAAATTTGGGAAATTGATGTAATTGTGAGAGATATTCACAACCTTGTCCATAGTTGTTCCTCATTTGGGTTTCGATGGACCAGAAGGAAAACTAATATGTTAGCGCATGAGGATGCAAGTTTAGCATAATTGAATTCTTTGCCTCTGAATTTATTGTCTTCTTGCCAAACGAGTATTTTGAAAATTTGTCTTTAGGATAAATTGTTTGAATTAGACTGTTTGATTTCTAGTTTATGGCTTTCATATGTATGTTATTATTTCATATGTATGTTTTGTTTGTTGAGGAATTGATGTTTCATTCTCTCTCTCTCTCTCACACACAAAGATGTACACACACACACACACACGTGTGTGGTTTATTTATATACACACACACACTTGGGCAAGGGCCTAAAAGAATTGTGCATTCTAATACATTGATTTAAGGCTAATAATTTATTTATAAAAAAAACAATTGACTCCTAAGGCACGTATCTAATAAATAGTATAAAAAATAGTATTTATTTATAAACCTAACTATTTGGGCACGTGTCTAATAAATTGTACTTCCTAATACTTTTATTTAATAAAAAAAATTAAAAAAAAAGTGGAAAAGTAACACAAAGAAAAGAGAAAGAGAAGATTCAATCAAATTCTTTTGATGGCATAAAGAAAAGCTTCTCTCTTTTAATTTTTTTTGGAATAAAAATGGAACATTTAATTAAATTAATTATTGAGAGGCTATATATAAATATTTCATTTAATTAAAGCCCAAAATAAATGAATAATCTTGCTTTAGGAAGACAAGAAGGGTCTGTCCACCTTTAATTAGAGTTCTTAATTTTAACAAAAAGGGCAACCTCACTGTCTCGAGAGGATGGCACTCAATTTAAGTAATTAAAAGCTCAATTTATATACTAAATTTAAATAATTAAAGTTCGATTATTTTGATTTATTGTCAACATTGTAAAGGATGATTGATCTTCTTTTAGTAGACATAACTTTTGATCAAGTTACAAAAGCTTCCTGGGGGGTTTTTTGTGAACTTCAAGCCAGGTATAAAGACCCTTCATACATGCCCACGAAACTAAAAGCTTAAGTCATTAACCATCATGCAACTATATTTTCAGGAGTTAACGACTTTTTCCCATCCTAATATTTGGTTTAATGATATTTTTTTACCTATAAACTTTTAAAATATCATTTAATTATCCAAATTTATATTTTGATGACAAACAAAGAGCAAACTCAGTCCGCTGTTAAGGCTTTTAAAGAGGGGAGACTGATGAGTCTTTTGGTGGTGAAATATTGAATTTTAGTGATTGGAATTGATCGAAATTTGACCTAGGAATGGTGGCTGTATAAACTATAATCGCTCGATTGTCGACAATTGGCGAGGTCGGCGAGAGTAGGGTTTAAAGGGTTTTAATGAGTGATGATTGAGAGACAGAATGGTGGTGGTGTAAGGTCGCAACGATGTTGGAATCAGAAACAAGATATAAATTTAGATAATAAAGTGGTATTTTAAAATTGTGTAAGTGGGTGGGAAAAAGTCTGTTTACTCTATTTTCAGTGGCCAAGGGCCAAAGTGTAATATTTAATGCACGAGAGAGACCAAATGGTAAAAATAGCTTTTAATAAGATGATATTGTAATTTTCATATATAAAGTCTCGGGTGGCCCTGGGGCGGTCCACCATTGTTTATTTTCATATTCCATCAATGGTAGTGTAGAACTTTAAACTTAACGAAACGAATATAAAGAGTTTTGCAATGCAATAGTAAGCGCACCGATGAGTTAAGCGATTAAGGTTCGATGAATTGGCCTTGGAAAGGTACGTATGTGTGTTGCTTTAGCTCATAGTATTCAACAATCCATCAATAGATTAGCTTTAAAACTATAAAAAGGAATTAAAATAATAAAGTTTGGCCGATTTACATTGAAGGAACGAATTCGGTTAAATACATTGCTACAATTTTAATGCATAATCTTGACTACTCACTCGTTAGTGGTATTGGTAGGACCAATATGCCATAAGCGCCTAATTTTATGCAACCCCTTCAATTATTATTTTGGTGAAAAATCACATGAAGTCAATTAGGTTCACAGACACTTTTGCTAGTCTCTTGGTGCAAATGCACTTTGGAAGTCAAATTTTAACCGTGACAATTTTAAGATAAAGTTTCTGATGAAGCACGTGAAAGGATAATAATATGTAACAATCTGGATAAATTGGAAAATTACTATATAATTAAATTTAGAGTAAACGACTTTTTTCCCACCTAAATAATGGTTTTATAACACTTTCTTACTCATATATTTTTAAAATATCACTTTCCCACTTACCTTACCAATCGTCGGTTGATTCCGATATTATTGCGACCTTAAACCACCATCATTCTCTTTCCTAATCATCACTCACCAAAATCTCTCAAATCTTACTACTGTCGATCCCGTCAATTGCTAGAAATAAAGCAGTTAGCGTTTGCGCAACCACCTCTCCCAAATTAAATTCTAACTGATCACGACCATCAAAATCTAACATTCCACCACTAAAAGATTTACCTGCCTTTCCTCTTCAAAAGCCCCAATAGAGTGTACCGAGTTTGCTCTCCGTTCGTCACCGAATCGAAAAGTGTATTTTTTTGGGTGAGAAAGTGTTATTTTAAAAATCTATGGGTAAGAAAGAGTCATTAAGTCACTATTTGGGTGGGAAAAGTCATTTACTCTTGAATTTAATTTGAAGAACCCACGTATAAAGATTAAAGGAAAATATTATATTATAATAAACATGTCATTATGATGATGTAGTGTTGCTATCGTAAAAGTGGTATTCAAGATCGAAAACAAGTAACTTTACGTAAAGAAAAATATTATTATAATTTGACCAATATGTATTTTTTATAGAAAGAAGAATAATGTTATAATGAGTAAACGATTTTCCCACCCAAGGTTTGCCTTAAATGACCTTTTCTAATTTTAAAATATCACTTTCTTATCTAAAATTTGTATATTTTGTTAATATTTAGACTCAATTTCAACCAATTTTGACAACGAAAATTCTCTTAATCACCACCATTTAATTTGAATCATTAGTCTCATCTCTACAAAACCCCTCTCACTCTAACACCTGATTTTTCGCTGATTGTCAGCCACTACAAAGCTATAGTTTTCTATTCTTATCTGATTTTCGACTGGTTTCGACGACGAATATTCAATCGATTACCACTATTCGATCCATCGACTTCCACTCTACAAAACCCCTATTACCTTGACTCTTGTTAACTCGTTGAACGCCAAATAAAAAAGTGAAGTATATTTTTTAGTATTAATAGAATAAAAACGTTGGATAAAAAAATAATATTTTAAAATTTTTTGGATAGAAAAATACCATTAAAGCAAACCTTGAGTGGGAAAAAGCCGTGCACTCTATTAAAATTTGACCAAAAGACTAACAAAATCTGAATGGGAGTAGGTTTCTAGTATCCCATTAATTAAACGAGATAAAGAGTTTAGAGACTAAGAAATTAATTAAGTTGAGTTTCCATTCCCAATTCTACACACGCAACCCAAAATAAAAATTTCCAAAATAAAACAATAATTTAATCTGCCAATAACTAAATGAATCTTAGGAGGCAAGTAACGAGGTTGGTGAGATTGACCAAAGCTTTATAAAATAAAATTGGCGAATTCAAATGTTTGCTTTTTTGATATCATCTACGAAATCTTGATAACAATTTACATCCTAATCCAATTTAAATCTCTTTTTATAAATTTAAATACACCCTTATAGTATTTATCTCTATATCTAT